TTTAATCCCAGCACTTGGGAAGCAGAGGCAGGTGGATTTCTGGTCTACAGAGTGAGTTCCAGGACAACCAGAGCTACACAGAGAAACCCTGTCTTGAAAAACCAAAAAAAAAAAAAAAAAAAAGAAAGAGAAACTAGTCACTGTACATTTTAAGACTATTCAATTTTGTATCTTAAAAAGATGCTGAATTTTGAACCCCTTTTCTATCAGAACCCCACTTTTACTCTATAAAGAGCTAGCCAGGGGCTCCACAATGCAAACAGCCACACACATGTGGTTCATGGGCAGATATATATATATATATATTTTTTTTTTTTTTCTTCGAGACGGGGTTTCTCTGTATAGCCCTGGCTGTCCTGGAACTCACTCTGTAGACCAGGCTAGCCTCGAACTCTCGAACTCAGAAATCCGCCTGCCTCTGCCTCCCAAGTGCTGAGATTAAAGGCGTGCGCCACCACCGCCCGGCCAGATATATTTTCTAAACACCTCAGACAGGCTTGGCTACCTAGACCTGTCGAAATCTTTTATCAGGATTATAAACCCAGACATCCAACGGAGACCTATGGTTTGACTCTCCAGACATTCCCGAACAGTTCTTGGTGAAATCAAAGCTTGTGCAAGGAGAGATCCGAAGAGGACCCGCTGGCCTGGGTCAGAAACCTTCCCTGGTTTTTGAAGTGCAAGGCCACCTCCCTAGGAGCCGTTCACAGCAGGGGAGACATCCTGTCAGTGGGCAGAGGGAGGGAGGGGAGACCAGGGGAGTCTGAGCTATTAATTCCCTTGATGGATGGGGAGCTTGGGACGGTCTGCCTGCTTACTCACTTGTCAAAAAGCAGCCAGTGTTCTGTGCTCTCCTCTGCGTACACCTGTTGCCTCTCCTCCTCAGCCGTGCAGCTGGGGTTCAACATCACCCTTAGGCTACATAAGCCACAGTGTCCCTCCAGCAGAAGCACCCATAGAGAACTGTACTAGACTACACTTTAAGTGAAAACGTTGCCAGTTTTAAGGCTGGATTAAAACCAAGACCCCCCCAAAAAAACAAAACAAAGCAAACAAACAAATAAAACACCCTATTCCTCTCTCCATATAACTCAAAATTAACAAAACAAAACAAAACTGACACTAACTCACAACTTAAGAACACTTAAGAAAGTCTAATTTAGAACAAGGTGCTTGCTGGTTTTAATCCAGTGACAATCTTCATTTCTTCAGGTGGCTGTGACTTCCTGGTTTGACTCATGGGCCTTTGTTGTCAAGCTCATTAGACCGAACCACAAAGAAGTCTTCATTTTGGACTTCTAGGCAGATACTGGAAGTCCAAGGAGAGGGAGAACAAGCAGCTTCCCGTCCTGCCTCTGCCTCCATCACTGGATGAGGTTTTTAAATGTTTTTCAGAGAAGTGGGAATAGTGGAATACGTCTGCTCGGCAAGCGTTGGGATAAACATGATGCCGGCCAAGCGCTCTCATCCTGACTATTAAAGTATCTTCCCCAGCCTGACTGCCGTGATAGTCATTCAACCACCTGTAAATACCTACAGCATTACTAGTCCCTGGCAACATCTCAAGGAAACAGAGATAGAGAAAACAGAGGTGACCTCAGTTTACAATCTAGAAGCAGGTTCCTAAGCAAATGCTGGTGTCGTAAATGTCTAGAGGTCTTGTGTGAGGAGGAAGAGCACCCATCCTGACGGTGCAGGAACACCTAACGCTGCTGACATTCCCCCACTCTCCTCTGTTTCTAAAACAACAGCCCTCACTCGGCTGCGTGACACACATTAGACAGCGTTGTTTCAGGGAAGATGGAGAAGTTTGGGAAAACTCCTATTGCCTCAGAAGGCCATTTCCTCCCAACAGGTCCAAATGAAAAGCCGACCAGCAGCAACTCTAAGGTAGCACTGACTGGCTCTGCAGTCTGAGGTCGGCAGTGTACTAACATGTTAGTGTCTGTTGAGTCAAGCAAGCACCTGGAGGCGCAAGTGAACACGGAGAGGTTAGGAACCAGGGAGGGTGGACACTGCCAGCTTGCTTTTCAAATCTATCATGCCCAGTTCTTTCTCTACTTTATCTACTCAAAAACTGAGTTTGCAGGGCTGGAGATGTCATGGCAGTTGAGAGCACTTCCTGCTCTTTAAGAGGACCAGAGTCTGATTGCACTCCCTGCTCTGAGAGGCCCAGTTTGGTTCCTAACCCCTCCATCAGGGAGTGCAGGATTCCAGCTCCACTGGCATTTGACACCCTTCTTTCTGACTCCAGGGCCATGTGTCATTCGCACACATACACATACAATTTAATTAAAAAAAAATGTATGAGGGGCTTAAGAGATACGTCAGCACTTAAGAACACTTGCTCTTCCAGAGGCCCCAGGTTCAGATCCCAGCACCCACACTGCAGCTAACAAACATCTGTAAATTAAAGTTCCAGAGGATTCAGTTCCCTTTTCTGACCCCTGATGCCACCTGACCTATGTGGTACCCAGACATACATGGAAGGAAAATACTCATAGCATAAGACAATCTTAAGAACAATTTGAGTTTCCTTTCCCTTTAAGGCCCAGTTGAGACTTGCGGCCTCATCTCCATCTTTCACCTCCAACACTTCATCCTAACCTGTAATCCTTGGCCTCTCAATCCTTTCCACCTTAAACCGCATTTCTCTAGCTGTACCTCCCCGTTTTAGAGTATCTATTGTACTTGCCCTGAACACTCGCCTTCCTTCTATTGTGTATTGATTTTTAAACTGTTGTCCCCCAGCCAGAAACAAAAGTTCTTGAAACTTCTCATCCAATTATCTGTGCTACCCTGAAATAGACTCACACTGAGGTGCCATTTTCTGTATTAGTTTTAGACGTCATGTAGGTATAAAGTGATTATCATTCATAACTTTGCTCAAAATTACAAAATATAAATTACCAATAGGAGCAGGATAAACATTAAAGATATCCCACAAATTTATGCTCAAAACCAAGCATTTTCAGAGCCTACTAGCCCCACAGTGAGTGAACCTTTCTGTTCCTCTGATAGACTTTGATCAGTCATCTTCCACACCACTGTCCTCTTGTATGCTAGAAAAGTCCACTTCTTTTACCCACTACAGTGTAAGAGGGGAGGGCCACGTGCACAAAGTAGATATTCGAACGAGTTTATTTTTCTACTTAACTTTTAATAAATGAGAAGAAACACAGTAGTCTTGTCTCATATAGAACATTTATAGTACATAACAATCCATAAAGCCTCATGGTGAGGTAGGAACAGCTTTGGAAATAACACAGAGTCATAAAACACACAGAAGTTAGGGGAAAGGCTGCCGCACCTTCTGGATGAGCCTCATTAACTGCCCTTGGCCCAGGGGATGGACGGGCAGCAGCAGACAGGACCAACGCGAGAGCGTCTACAGAGAATCAGACACTAATACCTCATTGTGCTGTTTCAAGGCAGATCCGTATCACGGCATTTGTGTCATTTTATATAACCACATAGTAATTCTATGTTACATTCTACCTCAGCATCTTTTCTGCCTGACACTGAGCCTTAATGTTTTTGGTTTAAAAGTTTAAATTGATTAATATACAAAAGGCTCTTGTGCCGGTGAAAATGAATGACTGCTAAACATTCCAGAGCTTGTTAGTAAAACAAAATAGGACCAGCATATACATATACGTATGCATATATGCAGTGCTGTATCAAAATAGTGTGATTGCAATCCCGTTCTACAGACCATGAAGCACTGGGGCAGTTTCGATTACAGACACCAACAAAAGCCTTCCACTTTCCCATCACCTCTTAACACTGTTACCTCTTAAATGAAACTGAAACACAGTACTAAAATAAATATTTCTTACTGTAGAACCACTCTCCGTGTGTAGGACTACCTTAAGACAGCAAATTAATCTCTGTATTTGTGTAGAACTACCTTAAGACAGCAGGTTAAGGACAGTTTTTTGTTTTGTTTTTTGTTCAAATGGTATCTGCTTGCAAAACAGTTAAAAACATTCAAAACCAGTTTACCTACCAAATACTTCACATTAGTTTTTCTTTTCCCTCAAAACTTTCAGGAACTCAGAATAACAGATGCTGACAACACACACACACATAAACAGCCTCCCGAGACCCTCCACAGTAAACTTGATGGAACCCTTCCTGCTCAAACTACACATCTTAGGATAAAGCTACCCAGCATTTTGTTTTGGGTGTGAAAATACAGTACAATATTCGAGGATCGTTTTCCATGTTCTAGCCTGTACTTCTTCAATGTAGATACGCCCCAGAAAAAAATTCCTCCTGCGAGTTCAAAGCTGGCCATGGGAAATCAAGTCCATTGTTCCAAGGCTGCACATGGCTTGAAAGGATTCCTGTCTGAGTGTACTGTGGGAGCATACAACCCTTCCTCACTCAGTCCACAATGACCTGGCTCAAGTAAGGCAAAGCAGGGAGGCCTCCCCCAGCCCTGAGGCACTGAGAGGAAGCACATTTAACAATAGGATAGTCCCAAACAGGCCAAGGTAGCTCCTCATTTTCTCTCAAGAAATAAGCTATTTTGGAAAAGACACTCAAATTCTACAACATTTAAATATAAAAACATCTTTCTTCTTAAAGATAATGCTAATATAGCTAAAAAAAAAAAAAGGGTTAGAAAGTGCATTGTAAAGAAATAAATAATTCTCTAAAACCTCAAGGTGAGTTGGCACCCATGGATTTTGCTATGACAAACACCTTTGGGGGGGAAAAAAGCCTTCGGTACCACTTTTTTACATAGAAGCCACTTGACCCAGGTCACCACCACCTTAAAGCACTTCTGAAAATTGGATTGACACAGCCCTCCTCCGTGACATAAACCTGCCCGAGTGTTCTGAAGGACACCTCCTGGATACCATAGGCTTTCCCCTTGCATTCCTGTACCACTGTGGAAACACTGAAGCCTTCTGCACAGTGCCGCTGGAGTTCCCTTTCACACCACTCACAGAGCTCTCAATTTCATGGTTTTTTTTTTAAAACAAACAAACAAACAAACAAACAAACAAACATTTTGCAAAAGTCAAAGTAACCACCTGCCAAGGGGTTAGGTCAGACATTAGTAAAGTATGTAGGTTGATGGTTGGCCCAGTGTAGTAAATGTGAACTTACAAACTATATTCCAAAAATTACACTTATCAGAAAATCCAGCTGTTCTTAAGTAGGCCCGTTGCCAGCAACAGGCTTATTACACTAGAGGAGACACTATCCCTTAAAGTAACTGTCATACTCTTAACATTTCCATTTTCAGATTATTAAGCAATGAATTATTTCAAATCCCAAAAGTTAACTTTCCCAAAAGTAGTCAGCTATAAAAGTTATTGAAGTAGTCAGAATACTTTGTTCCTAGAAAAATAGAGCTATACATAACTGATAGTAATAATCACTCTTTTGAAGACAAAAATCTACATTTCCTTCACGAAACATTAACCTTTCTCTATCAAGGAAAACATAACTTAAAAATCTTCAAATGTTTGCGTTGGATTTGAAATCTGTGGCAACAGAGCAGCCGTGAATGACTTCCTGGGTGCAAAGTGCGGTGTCCTGCACAGGGAGCACAGTGCGAGCCAGCAAGCCAAGACATGGAAGCTAAACACCTAAGCCTTCCTCTTACTGGTTTTGCTTTCTAAAGTAACATCCAAATTGCATGAGCCATCTGATTTCATTTTCAAGTCACTGGCTCTTGGCTAAGCACACACGGTGTTGGCTGCACATGAAGGAAGGTATTCAATCCATTTGACGGGTCACTATGGAAGTTTAAGACACAATCTAAGATTAATAGTCTGCAGTTTAAGAAGCCAAGTCCGCATTCTCAAAAACATTCACGCACTTAGAACCTTTCACCTCAGGGTTGCTAACACCAGTCTTCGAAAGAAAGCAACACTGGCAACATGTTTAGACCAACTTTGGTAGAATAAAGCCATTGAAGATTTTCAAGATAATTTAGAGCTGTAATCTCAACATGAGTATGCAATAACTGACGTAGCTTGTCTTCTTCCCTGCTCTTATCCCCTATGTGCTCCAAGATGTATAAACTGTAACTCGCCTTGTGAGTTACCTTAGGGTTTACTAGGCTACTACTGCTCAGCAGTAGGGAACAGAGTAGTGCCTAATCTTATTTCCTGCTAATAGTCATGACTCGCTCTGAAAATATGCTGCCATTGTGCTATGTTTATGATCTCAAAGGGCAAGTAACTATCCCCTCAAGCATCGAAGGAAACAAACTTGATGATTTTAAAGGCCTGGCAATTATAATGCTAACAGACAAGATATAACAATGGGGGGGAAAGAAAAGCAGAGAAATTCCAGTAACAATTTTATTTATCCCCCTAATCCTTATCATGGGAAAACCAGGAATCAAATGTCATTATGTCATATAAGGTTTATACTTACTTTAAACAAAACTGTAACATAGTGTTAAACTGGCTTTCAAACGTGTTCCAGCATAGCCGCACTATGCACTAAGAATCACAGACTGTGATGGGGCACACTCTAGTATGCACTCCCATGTGGTTCTTACAAAAATAGAATTAAACTGTGCGACCAGACAAGGACTTCAATTACACTACTTGGCAAACTTAGTATTTCAATCGAGTCTATTTTCTCTTGCAGTTTAAAAGCAAAAGTCAAATATCCCATCTTTTTCAAGACTCACAGAGATGATTCGGGCTGTTTGTTTGGCACGTTTTTAATCTCTATCACCACAGCGGGGAGACTGCCTTCAGCTTTAGTCCTCCTGGGCTGCTTCTCTAGATTTTCACTGAGTTCTAAACAAGAAATGCTAACTGTCGGCGCCTTCTCAGCATCCTTCCCAGAGTGGACTTGCGGCCGAGTCCCGCAGCACTGCTTCAGAGCACACTGAGTTCTGCAGGCGAGCTCACACGGGACTACACTTGATTTAGAGCCTACACTAGCGAATTCAGGCTGGATGGTAGTGGCATGGATTCCATGATTGTGGAAAACATCTTTAATGGTCTTGGCCACCTGCATGTAGGAAGCTGGGTCTTCACACTTTATGTGGGCGGTGGCGATGATCCTGCTTCCGGCGAGCTGCCACACGTGTAACTCATGCACCTCCTCGACTCCTTCAACAGCGCGTAGCTCTTTGACCAAATGTTTGATATCGATTTGCTTAGGAACAGTCTGTAAAAGGATGAGAGCAGACTCCTTAAGCAACGGGTAAGTCGTGTAAAGAAGTATACAAACCATGATAATACAAAGGGTCGGGTCCAGGTAGAGCACCCAGCACGGACCAGCCTCACGCACTGGGACCTGGGTGCTGTTCATTATCTCCACAGACGATTTGCAGGGATCAGGAAAACACGGGTTCATACAAAAGTTGTCTTCAGTACAACCCTTCCAGGAAAAGTAAAAGACCAAGGCGTTCACCACCACGATCACGGAGCCCAAGGCATCTCCAAGGACGTGCAGAAACACTCCTCGCATGTTCAGCTGTCCAGCCCTGTTGTCTTCTGATTCCAGACTGTCCGACTCCTGGATGAGGGTCCCATTGACTTGTAAATCCACTGGATCATCACTTCTCAATTTTTCTGGCTCTACAACAAAATAATACAATTTTAGTTAAGCACGTTTACAGTGGCCATAGAGACATCTTGTCCAGCAGTGAGTATGTTTAAACTTGTTTCATAAACCTCAACGGAAGTGTGCGGAGAGCAATTCCCAGTGTGCTGACACTGGGCACTGCAGCACACGACAGTGGAAATCCAACTGTGTCACTCACTGGGCTACTGCTCCTCTGTGCTCCTTCCCACCCTCTGGGCTGCCCTCACTACTGGGTTGGTGTTCTGTAAACACTCTGCTTCACTTCTCTGAAACATACAAGAGAAACAGAATTTAAGGCAGGCAGTTAAGCAGCACTGAGGATAAGTCCTCTCACACGAACTAATCTGATGGGAGGCTCTCTGTAGTCAGTGACACTAGGTAGGCTGAGAAAAGTGGCTCTAACGTAAAATATTCATCATGAACACAAAACATGGTGTCTTGGTAGAGGGGTTTACAAACTGACAAATCAACAACCTGGGGCTATTGCTGGGCAGTGCAGGCCTTTGATCCCAGCACTGAGGAGACAGATGCAGGAGGAATTCTCTGAGTTTGAGGCCAGCTTGTTTTACACAGTGAGTTCCAGGATAGGCAAGGCTACACAGAGAAACCCTGTCTCGAGAAACCAAAAACAAACCAACCAACAAAACACAACCTGAAGCTACCAACAAAATTGTAAGTCAGTAGTCACTAAGTAACCCAAAAGTTCCAGTCAGACGGCACACCTGAGTAGCTTCATTTTTCTCCTTTCCTATGCACCACCTGAACTTCTTAACACGTTACTATGCACTGGAGAAGTTAAGATGCCTCTGGATGTAACTCAACCAGATACAAATGGCAAGAAAAACTGGAAGGAACACACAACGTTAACATCGAGCTTGGGTGGTACTGGCTGGTTCCTTCTCCTTTCTTTTCAACACTTACCTTCCAGATTACCATCAAGCACACGTGTGCTCAAGATGAAAAACGCTCGTTAAAACCACGAGGGTAATACATCACCATCGGGTATAGCACCATTACGCCAAACCCGAAGAGGCAAGGGTGCAACGTGCCCTGGCAGGTCCCTAAGCTGTGATTTTCCGGATTAGGTGGTCGGTTTTCAGGGAAACACACACTCCCGTTCACAAAGGCCGCCTTTAACCAGGGCCCACACACCCCCAACACATCATTATCAAACTTGTTCAGTGGGCACCAAACCACCGCGCACCCGGGCGCGGGGCGTGGCACCCACCGCGGTCACCAGGGGGCGCCCGTCCCGACCCCTCTAGAGCTCACCTGCTTGGTCCGCCTTCAGCCCGTTGGAATTGCTGGTGTTGGCCACCAGCGTGTTGGTCTCCTCCTGGTCCGGAGCCCGGCCGGGTGGCGTGCCCGTCTCACCCCCGGCGCGGCCCGCCTTGCGCGCGCCCTTGGCGAGGTGGCCGTGGCCGTGCGAGTGGCCGTGGCCCGCGCCCTGGCCCTCGCCGCTGTGGTGGTGGAACAGGCAGAGCCCCAGCACGTTGACCAGCAGCCCCGCTACGCCGACGCTCAGCACCACGAGCGGCTGCTGCATCTCATGCGGCTCGATGAAGCGCTCGACGGCTTCCAGCAGGATGGCGAAGCACAGCCCCGTGAGGAAGATGGCGTTCACCAGCGCGCCCATCACCTCGGCGCGGATCCAGCCGAATGTGTTCTTCTGCGTGGCGTGAGTCCTCCGGGCGAAGCGCTCGGCCACCAGCGCCACCACGAGCGCCAGCACGTCCGACAGCATGTGGAAGGAGTCGGACAGCATGGCGAGCGACGCGGTCACCCGGCTCACCACCACCTCCAGCACCATGAACATGAAGGTCAGCAGCAGCATGCACAGCAGCCGGCCGCGGTTGCGGCCCCAGCAGCCCATGGCGGCGGCCTGAGGCTCGGCGCTGACGCGGGAGCGGTGCTGTGGGGAAACCGCCGGCCGCGCAGCTACTCAAGCGCCGGCGCTCGGCTGGACTGGCGAGGCGGGCCACTACGTGCCGAGGGGCTGCCGAGCATCAGACCGAGGCGCTTGGGAGACGGCGTCCGCGACGACTGCGCTCCGCTCGGCAGCGGCTGCCGTCTTCGCCCCCCCGCCTTTGCAGACGGTTTACAAAAAAACTTTGCTTTGCACTCGGAACCCCCGTTTTCACACGGACCCGAGCGTGACAAGGCCCCGGCGCCCCGCCCCCCAGGCCCGGCTCGCCTCCCCATTGGCCAGAGCTGCCTCACGACAGCCCTGGCGTCCCGCCCCTCCTCTGCCTCTATTGGCTGGAGGGGCGGGAGGGGGCGGGGCGCGGCCGCGGGAGCTGGGGGCGGGGCCTGTGCTCTGGGGAGCCGGGCGTGGGCCGGGGGCCGCGGCCGGGTGCAGCGGCGGGCGGTGCGGGGGAGGGTGGGCGCGGGCCGCGTGCAGCGGTGGGCAGGCGGCAGGGCGGTGGCGCCGAGCCCTGGGGCGCAGTGGGCAGTTCCCGCTTCCTGCGGTGCGGGTTCCGGGCCGCGGTTCCCCTCCGCCGGCCCGGCCGCCCCAGACTTTGATCCTGCGAGCTGGGTGCACGTGGGGGCGGCTGGGTGACAGGTCGGCGCCCAGGAGGGGCAGGCAGTGCGGGCTGTGCGGGCGGCGGGGGCGCGGCCGAGCGAGGAGCTGAGTTAGGGACTGGCTTGCTAGCGGCCCAACCCCAGCCTCGGGAACTCTTCCCATCCAGCGGATCAGCCGCAGAGCCACCTCCCCGGGGCAACCGTGTGAAGTCAGCCTGTCGCTGACACTCTTAAGGTGTGGGGTGCTGACTTGGGGCGGGAGCCTGCTGCGTGACTTAGGCAAGTCACCTAATCTCGCTACACCTGTTTCTTCATCAATAGAGGGAAGGATTGGGCAAGTGGAACTTCTCTTCTTCCTTCTAGCTAAAATTCCAAGGCTCTGTGATTTCACACTATTTATAGGTTACAAACCTCCGAACCCTTGTGTAGGCTGTTTGGAGGGGGAGGGGCGGCCAGAATACAAAAGAAGGTGGTGGGCAGGCACTAGGAACCAAACACCCTTGCTGAGTTGGCTAAGACTCTTTGGAGTTGGTCCTCTAAGTGAGAACCGTGCATGTGCACATCTATGAGGGTAAAGGTCCCCCAGAGTGGAGGCTAGAGTCAATCATCAGGGCAGCCTCTGTTGGGCCACCAAACATAACGATGGACCCTGATAGACCCCCTAGGTACCAGCCGTTGCATTGAGATATTCATGGCCCACTATGCTCTTTTGCATGAAAAATTTTCTTGTTTTCCTTTTGTTTTCTTTGAGACAGTTTCTGTGAGTAACCCTGTCTGTGCTGGAACTCCCTATGTAGCCCAGGCTGGCCTTGAACTGAGAGATGGGATTAAAGGTGTTTGCCACCACCACTCAGCAGAAATTCTCATTCCAAGATTGCCTCTCATGTTGTACACGATGTTCTCATCCCAGCACCCAGACCAGAAAGCTAGGTGTGTCCTCATACTCTGTTTTGCTGAATAAGAAAGCATGGACAAAGGTTTCTAGCATCACAGGGAATATAGAGCAGAACCCGGTGATTAGATTTTGGGAGGCAAGAGAGCTAATGAGAGTTAACAGGTTTCAAAGCCGATACGGGAAATACTGCCTTAAATGGCATTTTGTTGGATAATGAAAAGACAGTGAACTCCACTTTGAGATGGTGAATTTGAATAAGAATGATAGCAGTTCTTAGACTGGACTCTGGGACTCCAGTAATCACCCCATACACACACACAAGTGGGAAACATAGCTTCAAGCTTTGTTCCAGCCTACCTATATAGAAGCCTAAATTTGGAAGATGCTTAAGGTATCCTTAAGACACTGGGCAGCTGGGGACGGTGTTGCTTCCTACTGTGGCCCTTTATTGAGATAGATTGCTTTAAAACAGTGATTCTCAACCTTCCTAATGCTACTTCATAACCAGTTTTGCTAGTACGAATCATAATGTAAATATGTTGTCCAGTGGTCTTAGGCGACCCCCACCTCCCCATAAAAGGGTCATTTGACCCCCAAAGGGGGTCGTGACCCCCAGGTTGAGAACTACTGCTTTAAAAGAAGTTGATATGCAAAGCAGAAACAATAGGTAAATAATAAGGCAGGCTTGCCTTGCCAAAGGGGCCTTTCCCCCACAGGGGCTAAACGGACCAGCTTGGAAGATGTTTTGCCATAAAAGTCATCTCAGCTTCCAGTGGCAGCCACAGCTGAGGGGTCTGTCTCACATTCAAGCTGTCTCCCAGAAAGCTGCTTTATTCCCTCATCCCCTGGTAGGGGGTGGGGCAGCACAGCCCCAAAGTGTGGAGAAGTCACAATGGCCAGCCAACTCAAAATGCAGGGTAGGGGACCAGCTCAGTGGTTCAGTGATTGACTGCCCAGCACGGGCGGAGGCCCTGGGCTCCTGAGGGAACGTAATAGCTGCAAGACTAAGAAGGTAAGGTCTAACTTACCTTCTTCTTATCTTCTTGTTTCTTTTTGTTTGTTTGTTTTATTTTGTTTTTGTTTTTTGTTTTGTTTTGTTTCGAGACAGGGTTTCTCTGTGTAGCCCTGGCTGTCCTGGAACTCACTCTGTAGACCAGGCTGGCCTTGAACTCAGAAATCCACCTGCCTCTGCCTCCCAAGTGCTGGGATTAAAGGCATGTGCCACCACTGCCCAGCTTCTTGTTTCTTTTTATGACAGGATCTCACTATGTAACCCTAGTTGGCCCGGCATTCTATGTAAACCAGGCTGGTCTCAAACCCATAGAACCTTGCCTTCTGTGCCTCCAATGTTTAGGATTAAAAGCTGTGCACACCCATAGCCAGCCGTCCCTCCCTCTGTGTGAGCAAAATAGTTGAGTATTTGGCTTAAGTTTTTGTTTTGTTCTTTTTCTTTTCCACTAGTTTCTCTAGAAACTTTATTCTTGTTTGGTTTTTGTCACTGAGACAGGATCTCATTATGGAGCCCAGGTTGGCTTTGAACTCACCAGTCCTGAGGAACCACCACTCAGTTTATCCTAGCAATTTTAGCACCACTCAGAGTGGATTTAACAGGAGGAACCATGTGAGTTTTACCAGTGGCATTCAGTGGCCCTAGGCTGAATAAAATGGCTTTTTCTTCCTCCTTCCAGAGAACTTGCCTGATAATTTTCACACTCACAATGATTAAATCTAGCACACTTCAGAGATAAAATCCTGGCAGTTTTGAAAATTGCCAACATGGCTGAAAGGCGAGTGTAACAGATGCTTTACATGTGGCCCTCTGAGCTTGACACTCCTGGTGGGACTCGGGGAGAATCTTAGAGGATTCTGAAAGCCCCAGACAAACACACCTGAAGGTATATTATCAAAAATCAGTGGGACTGGGTGTGATAGTGCTTGCTTTTAATCCCAGAGGCAGGAGAATCTCTTGTGAGTTATCCGCCAGCCTGATTGACACAGTTCCAGGACTGCCAGGTCACATAGACCCTACCATTTAAAAAAAAAAAATGTAGGACCAAGAAGATGGCTCAACCTCTAACAGTGCTGTACAGAGCCGGACAGAGCTGGACGGCCTGTTTGGGGGGGGGGGTTAGTTTTTCGAGACAAGGTTTCTCTGTGTAGCCCTGGCTGTCCTGGAGCTCACTCTGTAGACCAGGCTAGCCTCGAACTCTCGAACTCAGAAATCTGCCTGCCTCTGCCTCCCAAGTGCTGGGATTAAAGGTGTGCGCCACCACTGCCCGGCTTGGCCGGCCTGCGTTTGAGTTGAGGATCCACCGGTTGGAAGGAGAGGGCTAACCTCTTAAGTTGTCCTCTGACCTGTACACAATGCTTTTGGGGGGTTTATTTGTTGTTTGGTTTTAACTTTTAAAAATCATTGTATAAAGTTGGACCTTGCCTGGAAAGACCCCAAAACAAAACACAGAATCATGAGAACACCAGAGTGCATTTGACTTCAGCTGACACTAAAGTCACGTCCAGTGTTCAATCTCGAGGGGAAACTCGGGGCAATCAACTTGTTTATGCTCTTGAGTCTTTTGGAAATCGCTTGAGTCATTTCTACATAGGAACCGAAATCTCTAGCAATAACATGAGTGCCAAGGTTTGATATTTGTTTAGCTGCCCCTAGAGGAATAAACAACAGAACAAAGAATAACTAGGAACAATGCAGCAGTAAAACTCAGGAATAGCACAAAAGGTCTCAGCGGTACAAGGGAAACCAGTAAGGAACGCTGGAGCAGGAAGCCCAACTGTGTGCAGAGACCTGGCCAGCCACAGCTGGGAGAGTCCAGCTTTTGTCTTCCTTGGTGGAACTGAAGGTTCTCGGATGAGGCTAACAATAAAGAAATTTTTTTTGTTTTGTTTTTCAGGGATAATGAAAATGGAGCCCAAGTTCTGCAGTCATGTCAGGAAGTTAAGGCACCAGCACCCATAATAGCAAGGCTTACTAGAAGCATTCAGGAGCTCAGGTGGATTAGCCTAGCCACTCTGGAGGCTGGGGCAGGAGAGAGTTCTAGGTCTGCATGAACCCCAGAGTGAGTTTGAGTCTGGCCTGGGCGATTTATTAAGACCCTGTTAGGAAACAGAAGTTTGGGTATGGCTTGATGGTGCAGTGGTGACCTTCTGCCGTTAGGCTGTGGTCCCCAGCACCACAAAAACAAGCATCTGTGAATTTTTGGTTACATTTATCTGTGTGCACACTTGAATGTAGACGTCCAGAGACAACTGTTACGATTTGGTTCGCTCCTTTTACCATAGGGATTCCAGGGATTGAACTTAGGCTGTCAGTCTTGGTGGCAGGCATCTTTACCTGCTAAGCCAGCTTGGCTACCCTGCTCTTTAAGTGCTGTGCTACTTAACAACAGAGGCAGGTGAAGGAAGGCTCAGGTCATCTTCAGGATGGCGAGCTCACACTTCTGTGGTCATGGTGTTTGTTTTTTGTTGTTGTTGTTATTTTTAAGACATGCTTGAGATATAGCCCAGGCCAGCCTTGAACTCTCAATCCTCCTGCCATAGCCTCCCAAGTACTGAGATTACAGACATTAGCCATCTTATCTGTCTTGCCTTCTGTAGTCTTTT